AGGAGGGCCGGCCATCGGTACGTTCCCAGGGCTCCTCTCCCTCTTGTGAGTGGGATGAACGTGGTTCTCAACCCTCAGAGTCCTTACAGTGGACACACCTATGAGGACACGCCAAGTATTTATCTCTCAAAGGCAGACCACAGACAAAGCCATCACAAAGGAGGGCCGGCCATCGGTACGTTCCCAGGGCTCCTCTCCCTCTTGTGAGTGGGATGAACGCGGTTCTCAACCCTCAGAGTCCTTACAGTGGACACACCTATGAGGACACGCCAAGTATTTATCTCTCAAAGGCAGACCACAGACAAAGCCATCACGAACTTTCTCCCACTTCACCACCACTGAATTATGCAAGTGGTGTCTTGATTTGGCCTCCAAGGGTTTTGCTGTGCATGTAACATTGTCACTACAGGACTGATATTTTAAGAATAGGGTCTCTCTAGGTAACATACGGTATGAAAAAGAACAGTTGGTTTTAACCTGTGATATCTAAAGCTTTTCCGTGGGTCTCAGTAATTTGTTAGGAGGAACCTCCAAGGGTTTTGCTGTGCATGTAACATTGTCACTACAGGACTGATATTTTAAGAATAGGATCTCTCTAGGTAACATACAGTATGAAAAAGAACAGTTGGTTTTAACCTGTGATATCTAAAGCTTTTCCGTGGGTCTCAGTAATTTGTTAGGAGGAGGAGCTCGTGTAAACTTTTAAGGTTTAGAAGCATATAGGATTGCTCTTTGCTTCTAAATCCCAGCAAAAATGTCTACGCCTGCCAAAAATGACAAAGAAAAGAATCTTTTTTTGCACTTTTCTTAGTTCATGCTGTAGTTTAGGTGTTTTCTCTCATACAAGGGTACTTCAAAAAGTTCATGGAAAGATTTGTATTATTTTTTAATTGTTTTTCCGTGAACTCTTTGAAACACACTCATATTTGGCTTACTACTGGATTTTTTTTTTACATTGATAATGTAATGCATTTAACATCATCTAATTTGATATTCCCATATGCTTCCAAGAAGCTTGATTCTTTAGTCCTTTGTGGATCTTAGTTGTGATATTGGTAAGTTCAGGGGTACAGGAATGAGATGTCTGTGATTTGACTTTTTTTTTTTTTTTTTAGTCTTTTTTTCTTTTTCCGTGTCCGGCAACGGATCGCAACCCTCAGTGTTGCCCCCGTACCGGACCGGGGACCGGCAACGGGATCGCAACCCTCGGTGTTGCTCCCGCGCCTCGCTCAGCCAGTGAGCGGGAACCGGTCTGTATGTGGGATCCGAACCCTCGGGCGGGAGCGCCGCCGCACTTTCCAAGCGGCGCACTATCCAGTGTGCCACCGGGCTGGCCCTGTGATTTGACTTTTTTGAAGGACATAACTTAGCACAGATCTCGGGAAGAGCATAGGTGTGAATATAGCACATAGTCGTCAGAGAAAGAAAAATCTGAGAGTGTAGTTCCCACCTGAGGAGCTTTTCGCCTCCAGACCCAGAGAGATTTCCAGGGTTAGGCCCAGGTATCTGCATTTTAAATCAGTGTGGCCTTTCCATCATATTTTAAGTAATTCTACCCTAGATTTTCTGACAAAGGATCCACCCCAGTATCAAATGAGAGGAGTCAGTTCTCCAGTTAAAAGTAAAAACTGGATGGCTCAGTATCAGGACAGGTTCAGATAGCAGCTTCATAATGACGTGGCACGTTTGGACAGGTTGATACCACTAACCTTCTTTCTTTGGAGCTGACTTATTTATTCCTATGAAAACCAGAAAATAGGAACCCAGAGGATTGAAATCCTAAATGAATCCACAAGTTACATGACAAGCATCTGTAAGGAAATTTTAAGTCTGTGAGTATTTAAGAATTGTCTAAAACTTTAATCTTCAGTAAAATTTCTTAACTGATAGGGAAATGAAGCCCTAGAATTGATGCCAGAAGGATTTTACAGACTCCTTGAGTTCTTCTTCTTTTTAATAAAATAAAGGTTAAAAGTGATTTTTGTACAAATGTGAGAGAGACTAGAGTGCATATATTTTTATCCTTGCATAATTCATGTCCCTTTTCCAGTGCTAGTGTTGCTAAACTGGTTTGTTTTTTTACTTAGAAAAAGTGACTGAGTTCCAGCTGCAGAGGACTATTTGGAGGGACCGGGGCATAGATGGTCTTAGAAACAGCTGTATGTTGGCAATTGCAATCACTGACTTAGTCTGGGCTGGGCCTTCTCAGAACAAGAGAGATAATACTAAAGTTTCTGATGATGATGGATTATGCCAGAAGAGTATTGTCTAAAAAGCAGGTATCACCTGGGCCAGGTTCTTTGAATATGTTGCTTTGAATACCATCTGTTAAAATGAAAAACTCCAACCTTGATAGAAATATGTCCTTTGATACTGAATTATTAGGGCTTACAATTACTTTGAATAGTCTTTTTTACCCATCTTTTAAGTATTAATTGATTTCACATTGGGGTTTTCTTTTGCTTCTTTTCACTTTGGGTGTGTTCTCCTTTTTGTTTTGCCTATTGGTGTCTTCTTGGGATCCCAAAGGAACTTTTCTCAGCTTTGCGTCTGGGCCCTTTCTTGACATGGTGGGCTACTATTGATGTCCTCCCCAGCCAAGCGGAGAAGGTCTCCCAAAGTCATCTTCTGAGAGTGGTGTCTTCCCCCGCCGTCTGGCAGGAGCACGTCCCTAGGGCCTGCCATCTCGGACCTGACAAGTTAGATCCTCGCCGCTTCCATCTGGGTGATCGAGACCACCTCCTGTGCCCACCGGCTTTTCAATCAGTTGACATGATGACTCCTTTTCTCTTTCTTGTTTATCTGGGCACAGGACGTCGTAATCGAATGGACCGATTCTCCAGACTTCTTCGTATGGGCCTTGCCGCTTTGCCAGGAGCTTGCTCTCGGTGTTGTGCGGAAGGAGGAAGAGCCTATTCACCCGCTGAAACTCTCGAGCATCTTTATTGAACTCTCTAGCCGGGGTCTACAGGCCCCGGGTCAGATTTCCGCCTATAAATCACCCAACCAGGTCTAGTTGCTCCCTCCCACATTTTAGAGCCTGTTGCAGCATGCTGGCCATCTTATTCTTCCAGACCTCCCTCCTGATAGTCTTTGAGACCAAGGAGGCCTTTGGGTTCCTGGTTTTTTGTGATGTTTTACATGGGAGAAAACTCCGTACAGGCTTGAGGAATTTTCCTCCTTGTGTAAAGTAGGGAAGGCACAATTTTATGCTTTTGTCTACAGCTCAGGCAACATCAGAAACATTGATTTTAATCCTCTGTCTTGAATATAGCATGCTTGATATTTCCCTTGGCAGGGATTACTTCAAATTTTTATCTGGAATCATAAGAACTCCAACTTTCAAACCTTCAAAAAAGGAAATAAACCAGAGACAGCCCTGAGATTGTCATGTAATGATAATGTACATGTTCTATAAAGTCTGTTATACCAGAGCTGAGGATATGGGGAACCTTGATCCAGCTGACTAATTCTAAACTTTCTAGGCTAGAGGTGTCCTCTTGGGCTAGGCTGTTCCCTGTATATCTGGCTAATGGAATCTATTTAATCGTAGTTGCTACTTTGGAACCTTGTCTCTTGTGCAGAACTCTCTAGCCGGGGTCTACAGGCCCCGGGTCAGATTTCCGCCTATAAATCACCCAACCAGGTCTAGTTGCTTCCTCCCACATTTTAGAGCCTGTTGCAGCATGCTGGCCATCTTATTCTTCCAGACCTCCCTCCTGATAGTCTTTGAGACCAAGGAGGCCTTTGGGTTCCTGGTTTTTTGTGATGTTTTACATGGGAGAAAACTCCGTACAGGCTTGAGGAATTTTCCTCCTTGTGTAAAGTAGGGAAGGCACAATTTTATGCTTTTGTCTACAGCTCAGGCAACATCAGAAACATTGATTTTAATCCTCTGTCTTGAATATAGCATGCTTGATATTTCCCTTGGCAGGGATTACTTCAAATTTTTATCTGGAATCATAAGAACTCCAACTTTCAAACCTTCAAAAAAGGAAATAAACCAGAGACAGCCCTGAGATTGTCATGTAATGATAATGTACATGTTCTATAAAGTCTGTTATACCAGAGCTGAGGATATGGGGAACCTTGATCCAGCTGACTAATTCTAAACTTTCTAGGCTAGAGGTGTCCTCTTGGGCTAGGCTGTTCCCTGTATATCTGGCTAATGGAATGTATTTAATCGTAGTTGCTACTTTGGAACCTTGTCTCTTGTGCATATTGGCATCATGTAAATGTTACAGATTCTCTTAGAAGGTCAAGTTGAGACAAAAAAAAAATTTATATAAGCACAGTATATTATCTACTAGTGAGATACTTTTTATTCAGAATTGACAAATGGTTAACTCTTTGTTATCCAAAGATAAACTCTTAACATTATGAGTCTGTCTATAGGAAGCATTTTAATCCAAGGCTGTCTTCCCACTTCCTCTTTTCCTGCTATGACCTGATTTCAAGGCTGCCATTCTACTCTCAGTGGTATGGTCTCAGGAAAAGCCCATCCATTTTCAATGCTATGCTTAGAATAAACGAAAGGAGAGAAAAAATTATCTGAGTAATCAAGTAGTTATTGAGACCAATTTCTGTCTAGAACTATGTGAGGTGCTCTCTAGGGAGTTGAGCAGAATGTACAACATTATTCTCCAAGATCAAAAGCTCATAAACTAGCTGGAGTAATAAACTAGCCTACATAAAACAATTAGCAACACATCATCATATCTGTGTGTGCATGCACACACAGCCAATAACTAAGTACATGTTAAGTATGAAAGACTCCAAAGAGAAATCAGGTAGAAAAGAATTCAAGAAAGGATAGGATTTATGAAGGATCTTGAGAGAGGGGTAGGATTTGATTAAGCAAAGAAGAGATTATGATAAGGTAGAAAAAGGCATGAGAAATACTGTGGGTATTTTGGATAATACTTGTACATGGTTTTGGATTATCTGGGGTAAAGTCAAGAGCTGATTGTTCTTACAAGGCTTTATGTTTAAATTTCGGTACTGGAATATTTCATCTGAATATTTAGCTCCACTGCTTTCCCCAAAATTGTCATCTTCTTGGAAGCTTGTGAAAGTTCTGAGGCTTCCTGAGTCAACCATAAGATCAGGCTCAGGGCTATAGCATATGTGAGAATGGTTTGGGCAGAACTGTCTGACTTTCAGGTGAGACTGCTAACCGGTGACTATGTTTAAAGGCCCAGCTGCCTTTGAATTTCGTAGTTAGTGAAACCCTACAGCTTTCAGAATGGCTAACATGGGTACACAAGTGTCCATGTAGACTTTCACCTTCTTTCTCTTAATATCAATTAAGATTTAAGGACTTTCAGGTGAGACTGCTAACCGGTGACTATGTTTAAAGGCCCAGCTGCCTTTGAATTTCATAGTTAGTGAAACCCTACAGCTTTCAGAATGGCTAACATGGGTACACGTGTCCATGTAGACTTTTCACCTTCTTTCTCTTAATATCAATTAAGATTTAAGACATTAAGAGTCTTTACTATGCCCTATAAGGAGTAATTTCTCAAGTTTTTGTTACTAGAAATTTTTAAGCTCATAACCTCTGTCCTTCTAAGGATTTTGGAGTTGAAAACCGAAAGGATCTGAATATAGGATCTATACTGAGAAGTTAAGCAACTATTTACCTTGATTGCAGGAAGTACGGGCTTAGGGAACTGAGGGGGTTGCCATTAAAAGGCACACTGTGACAACAAGTGTTTTTCTGTCATCATGGAAGACAGACTCCAAAGAAATGGCAGAAACTCAACTAAATGAGTATTTTGTTTAAATTCAAGGGGTAATTTACTAATAACAAGTTTCAAAAAATATACATATTTTGAAGAAGGAAATGTAATGTTACCTGATGGTTGTCATATATGGGATGGATTTCCTTCACAGAGACTGAGTAGATGTGGTCTGAATGGTTTATAGTTTGCATGGAGTTCTCTGAGTCTAGGTTGGTCGTGTGGGTACCTGGATTGGGGAGGGGGGAAAAACTCCTGAGATTGACATCTCTGAGCTCCCTCCCTTAAGTCATTGCTGTCCCAGAAGAATCCTCTATCCACATCATGATTCAGTTAATGTCTGTACTTGGAAGTGGGGAAAGGGGGAGAATGGCCTCATAGCTTAACACTAAGCAGCAGAAGCTTTTGTGGAAGTGACTGTCAAGTCCTATTCTTGAGCCAACACTAGAGAGCATTAGATTATTGAGTAAATGCCCATATGGTTCATTCTTAATGTCTTGGGGGCATAGGTTTTAGTGCCTGATTTCTTAGGGATGGGAAAGGAGATGTTAGTACGTATGGTTTTGAAGTACTGGAGGGGAGGACCCCCCCGCCCCGCAGACACGGTCCGCCAGACAGTGGCTGTGGAGGGTTGCCAGGAAAGAAGTGCAGGGATAGCTGCCAGGAGCAGACTCCTCTAGGAGCATTTGTCTGAGAGCTGAGAGCAGACGAGCGGTGAGCAGCCAGGGCCAGCCACTGCCTGGCGCACTGTGCTCGGGCTGTTTTGAATGACTTGAGTTCTTTTTCATTGACCAGGCCTTAAGTGCTGACTTTCTTGTTTTTATAATAGCTACTTTCAGCACAGACAGTGTTGTTTCATGCTTGTAAAGAACACCAGAAATTTCAGTTACCTATAGGACACTTGTAGACCTGCTGTTGAAATAAAATTCAGAATTAGATCAAATTAAATGAACTTTTAGGTGTTCATTTAATTTTTATATATATTAAACTACGGGTTAATTTATTAGTTTGCGTTGCTTTAGTATTCAATGATTATTCATCCTCAACCATCACTTAAAAGCCCCGTCTAAAGTTAAAATTTCTTTAATATGTTGGTTAGAATGTTACATTCTTATTTTAATCTTCGTATGTAGCAATAATCCTATGTGTATTTATTTTGTCAATATTTGCCTTGCAGGTGCCAGGATTGCTGAGTATTCCCAACTCTATGACCAGATTGTCTTCAGAGAGACTCCCCTTAAGTATCAGAAGGATGGCTGGGCCCGCCCTCCAGAGGCCTCCGTCCCCAGGTCTGCGTCTCCTTCCCAGGCCCAACATGGTAGAGAGGATTGGCTTTGGCCTTCAACCTATAGTAATGGAGAACTAGCAGATTTCTGTCCCCGGCCAGAGCAAGACATAAGGTCAAAATATCCCACTTTTGAGACCAGTACAAGAAGTACTTCTAGACAGTTGTCTGCAGCTTGCTCTGTACCTTCTCTTCAAACCTCTGACCCTCTGCTGGGCTCCACACAGAGGTGCAGTGTGGTAGTAAGTCAGCCCAACAAAGAGAACTCATGTCAGGGCCATCTTTACAACTCGTTGGGTCGGAAAGGAATCAGTGCTAAATCTCAGCCTTATAACAGGTCCCAGTCATCTTCTTCCATCTTGATAAACAAATCAATGGACTCCATCAACTACCCCAGTGAAATGGAAAAGAAACCGCAGCGGTCTTTGCACAAAAGCTCAAGGTGTGAGAGTCACCAGAATTTGCTGCCAGGTATTGCTGACTCATGTCAACAGGGCACTGAAAAACACTCAGATCTTACACTCCGAGACTCACAGAAGGTTCTGGTAGTAAATAAAAATGTACCCTTAAATATCCAAATAGCGACACAGAACTATTTTTCCAATTTCAAAGAGACTGAAGGAGATGAAGATGACTATGTAGAAATAAAGTCAGAAGAAGAAGAGACAGAGTTGGAACTATCTCATAATCGTAGAAGGAAATTGGACTCCAAGATTGTGGATGCTGACTTTTCTGATAATAACTGCAGCAGTGACGCATCTTACTCTTTGAATAGTCCATGCACTCCAAAAAAGCCAATAAATAGCAAACTTGGGCTTTCACCATATCTGACATCATATAATGATTCTGACAAACTGGATGACTATCTTTGGAGGGGGCCATCTCCCAATCAACAAAATATTGTCCAGTCTCTAAGGGAAAAATTTCAGTGTCTTAGTTCAAGCAGCTTTGCCTAAACTCTTAATAATAATAGCTGCCTGAATCAACAACTTCTTATGCTCATAAGTTACAGATGAGGTGTTTTATATGTACCAGATTAAAACAATTTTGTAATAATGAGAGGTGTAAAATATACTTTCCTTTACAGCACAACTTTTTGAAATGGCTGACAGTGCAGCCAGGATTGTACTGTAGCAAATGTCAGCATCTAACAGTATATTTTCTGATGCTGATTGTCTCCCTATATGATGCAAGTCAATCTTACTTGAAAATTTTGGGGCTTTTCTTTTTTTTAACTTGATGACCATGATATATATTTTTTTCATATCCTGACAATAATGCTCATACTTTAAGAAATGCAATAATCCTCTCATATTATCCAGAAGCCCCAAGTAGTTTTATCTTACAATTTAAAGGCAACAAGGAGAGTTTTTCATATGTTTTAGAAGGAAAGGAAACTAAAGCTATTTAAAGAATGATGCTTATATCTGACATTGTTGCTACATTTGTGACAAGACCCTAGAATAACTTAAGGTCAGAGATCTCTAACTGCAATGCTCATTTTAGGGTTTCTATGCTGGTATTCCTATATCATTTCATTTTAATGCAGAAATTGTGAGACTATGAGAAATTAAAATGTAGCAGGGCCAATTTGCTAAAAGCAGAAGTTTTTACCTGGATTCCTGGACAAGGCCTGGACAATGTGCTGCTCATCATGTTTATTATATTATTTATGGTGCAAAATGAATGATGCCCTTAACAGCTTAAAGAAAATGCAAATTAACTACTAGAAAAGATGAGATGACTCCTGGAAACAATTGATTATCTCTTCATATTACAGTTAAAAAAAGAAAAACAAAAACAACAAAAAACCCTCCATACCATTGTGTGTGCCCATCTGTAATCAACATAAAGTAAACCATAAGCTAAAATAAGGCAAAGTACTTTAAAGTTACCCTTTCCAGGGGTGGCCACTTAGCTCTCTTGGTTAGAGCAAGGTGCTGATAACACCAAGGTCAAGGGTTCCAATCCCCTTACTGGCCAGCACCAAAAAACAAAGCCTTTCCAGAGCAGTTTTTCATATGCACCTTCATGAATTTTGGACTCTGCCAAATGACCTGTTTGATCCTAGGACTGAGGAGTCACTGGCTGCAGAAATGGGACAAGAATTTATTTTCTAAGCCATCCATAACTTTGGAGCCTTTTTTCATTGTTTTGAGGCATATACAAAAACAGAATCTTTGGTTACTAGGTTCTGACTAATCCCATCTTTTATGTTGTAATTAAGGTCTTTAAACAGCATTCCATTGTGATATTATATACCAGTCTAGCTCCTTATGGAGGGGAATAGAAGAACAAAAGCAGGACGTCGTGAGTAAAAAGCAAACTAAAGAGAAAAATGAAGGTACATTTATTGCTACTTTATAAAAATATCCTATTTTATTGAAGAGTCCGGTTAATGCAGCAAGAATGTTTTCTCAAACAGTGGCCTTTGTATTCTCATCTCAAGCAGTTGTACATTCTGTGGCTGTTTCCTACCCTTTGAGTTTTCATTTTAAAAGATACAATAATATGTGTAGGAAAAGGGGCCAGGGCTTTCATATAAAGGTAAACAATATTGAATCAGTGACGTCTCTGCATAGCTCTTTTCCTCTGTTTAAGTCTTATATCTCTTTTTCTTAACTGTAAAGCATAAAATGTGACTATATTTTACAAATAGGTACCTAAAGGCATTTTTTTTTTAAATAACATAAAATAACCCAAGTTTCTTCTCCAAACTATTCTTTCTCCTTGTAGCTTATAAAAACAAAGTCCATATTGAATAGCATGGTCCTGGAAATATTCCTTCTTTCATTGCCTTTATTTAAACATGATATGAGTTTTCAAGATTAAACAGTATCAAAAATGACAAGCGCTGTAAGAAAGATGTTCATAGACTTGCTGGATGTATATGTAAGTGTGTTTGCATTACCCACAAAAAAAACAAAGTTCCCTGACTCTTCTTCCAGAAATGCGGTGTCCCATCTTTGCTTTTTAGTGTCTATGACCCAAATTCTGTATACGCCATATTATTATTGTGTTTGGCTATTAGAAATTAATTCACACCGGTGTCTTGTTGCACGACTTCGATGTCGCCTGTAGGAAAACACCCTGCTGCACAAGGATGGTTATCTTATTGTATAAAATGCCTATGTGGTTCTTTAGGTTCTAGGAGAAATGTGTAGTTTCATAGATACCCCTGTTGGCCCAGATGCAGATTTTGAGAGCTGTGTGTATATATATAATCATGTTTGTATTTTCCCCACAGTTATTAAGTGCTTTTGTTTAGAGTAGGTTTTTTTTGGAGGTGGGGTGGGGAATGTATATAATTGGGGGAAGAAAGTTATATGTTCTTAAAAGTATGTCAAGTTCTGTTAGGTTCCTGTACTGAAGTTTCAATTTTTTTAATAAATTCACTTTTCACCTACTTTATTCTTTGGGGGGTTGGAGGGAATGCACCTAGGAAAACATAGTTTAAATACTGTATATAAGATAATGAAAGTTAGTAATGCCTATTATTTAATAAAATTTGTAAAATACAAAGTAAATTACGGTGTGAATTAATGTGTTTATTCTTGAATGTCAAGATTTTTCCAAAGCTGTAATACTTTATCTTGCCTTATGAACCATGCAGAAAATGGTTTAGGGTAATGATAATACAGTACTATATTTCATGGCCCATAACAGACCATTTTCTATATCTTTGGATTTCTTTTGAAATACTAAATTTAGTGTCTGGGATGGTTTTTGTTTTTTTGACAGCTGGCTAAATTAGATCAATCACTAAATTACCTTTTTTAGAAATTTGTAGTAACAGAAGACATCCTTTTCACTGTTTCATTATTGAATTGAAAATTTAATGTAAAAGTTTCTTGGCATAATTTTTTTTCCTATAACTTCATGTTCTGAATTTTCTTTGATAGACAAAAAAATTTTACAGGGAACAAAAGCATACTAATATAAATTTATAATTACGGACATTTTCTAAAGAAATCCTGTTTCAAAGCGTAAATATAAAGCCCTACCCCATTATAAGGAAATGTATGTTGCCTGACTTCCTTCACACAGAGGGAAATCACTTATTTTTTTTCCTTTAAAGTGTTTATTTTGTTTTAGAAGCTGGCCAGTGCAGAGATCAAACCCTGGATTGTGATGTTCTTTAGAGTGTTTTATAGTTAAGAGTTTTCCAAGCTTCACATTGAGGAGCCCTCAGATCTACTTCATCTTACTATTCCACCTTGAGGTTGAAAATGGATGGGTTTGCTATAAGTCATAAGAGTTCAATTTAGAGAAGCAAATGACAGTAGAAAAACCGTGTTCCGTGTAAATTCTATGCATAAATTAAACCTTAAAAAAATCTTAAAAATCAGCAGGCTTGTAATGAGCTATAAATACAGCTGTGGAACATGAA